AATCATTTATGGAAATTATTATTAATAAACTTTAATAATATTGATTACTTAATAATAAGTTTCGATAAATAAGAATTAGCTGATGATTCTAGGCGTGCGCAGTATAGGTGTCAATAATTGGTGTCTCCGGATAATCTATTTAATTATTTAAAATTAATTAGTAAATATCAGTGATTATCATTTTAAAAAATTTGATTAGTAAAAACATTACTTGAGACATTACCACTAACAAAATTCAACGATATTGATATTTGATTGCTTAAAAAAAATCAAATCATAACTTTGTCTCTAATAGTGTCAATAATTGGGGCTTTTACCTTACTCTCAATATTTTAGCCAGAAATTGCATTTAAAAATCGACCTCCGGTCGATTTTTAAATGCAATTTCTGGCTAAAATATTCCCGATAATGTAAAATTGTCGTATATAATAATTAACCCATTTTTTAAATTTGAATTTCACACAAAAAACCAACTGGTAATTTTACCGAGTAAATTAACCGCATCGGTGATTTTACCTCGGTAATTTTTCCAAATAAGATCATTCGAGCTAATTTGAATAAAATAAATTTTACCTTACATTATTGCAAAAAAAATTTTCAATTTTTGCAATTATAACATACTAAGCATGCAATCTAACCTAAGAACTTTGAAGGTTATCAGCCCCCACAGCGTAGCTAAAACATTTCTTCCGAAGTAAGTTATATAATCGACATATATAACAAATAAATAGAAAAAAGTGGCAAGAGTCATCGACAATGTCCAACTTATAAAGTCAGGAGACAGCCAATTGGGTTCTGGCTGCAACGGGTCATATGAAGCCCAGACTTTCTTCCACCATAGTGGATTTCCTTTCATAGCTTCTTCATCCTGAAAAAGTCATCAATTTTGTACATTAAAAAATTACAGAAAAAAAAGAAATTTACTTGAATCAAGTAAATAATTTTGGAGAATTTCATCTTCTTGATTTGATTCAAGTTAATTTTTTTTCAATGTAATTGAAGAATACTTACATCCCAATAATTCCAGACTGTGCAGTAAAGAACTCTCTGAATGATCAGCCAGTACCAGAGCGCAGCGTTGATAACAACCCAGCTAAAGACAGCCTGAAAAAATTGTCATTGATATTTGTGATAGTCATAAATTGTGATTGTAAGGACATACCTGAAGAATAGCCTGAAGAAATGTCTTGTTGGTTGTGACAGGCAGCCACCGTAAGCTCAAGCAGCGTTTAAGAGCGACGCATACCGCGGTGATGAGGATAAACGAGGGGAATGTGTGACTGAAATCAGGTCCCAGAAGGACCTTGGCATACTCACGCAGGACCTTGTGACGCAGTGAAAGAATCTCATGAGGCACTGATACGAAGCTCAATATTTGCGAGCGCAGCGCTGATAAACAGGACATGTTGTCATACTATGACAACCCTCTTGATGTCAATGTTCAGGTTATATATATATTATTTATTAAAAAATAAATGAACGACTTGTCAAGTCGTCATTTCAAATATATGACTATAATCCGTTCGATCAATATTATTTTTCTTTTTTTCGCTTATCTTTGTCTAATTATCTAATTGTGCTGGTTGTAAATTATAAATCACTCGTTTTTGCTATTGCTTTAAGTTAATTAGCATTGGGTAATGTTAGGTTAAATATATATATAAGTTTATATATTATTATTACGGTTAATGTTACTTGTTGAATTAGAAAGGTTTATTTAGTTAGTTATGGGCGATTTTAATCGCTGGTGATTAGCATAAAGTCAATTGTTCTTTATTTTATTAGTTTCTTATTTTAAAAAATTACTCAGGATTTTTATTTTCAGAATTTACGAGCTGGATAATTGATTTCTTACATTTTTATCGTATTTTATAAAAAAATATACTGTTAAATTCAATTTATTTTATGCAAATTTATTTTTTATTAATTTTGTTTGTAATTTTAGCTGAAAATTTAATTAAAAATCAATTTTATCGGCAAAAAAATGTAAAAATTGCTTTTTGAAGCTATGCTCGACAAAATGGCTGATATGAATTACAAAATGGCTATTTGCGCGCGTAAAATTTAAAATTTTTGTTTTTTACATAGAAAAATGGTGAAAATTTTATTTATTGATATTTTAAGCCAAAAAATGGATATTGATTTAAATATTATAGTAATTAATATTAAATTAAAAAAAAAAAATTTGAACGAATTTTGAGAATAAAAAGTTTTTGTTGTATTTTTAAAAAATTGTATTAGTAAATTAAATTTATTTATGAATTTAAATCATGTAAATTCATATTTTATCGATTTAATTTATAATACTAGCGGAAAGTTTTATTAAAAATCAATTTTATCGGCAAAAAAAACGTAAAAAATGCTTTTTGAAGCTATGCTTGACAAAATGGCCGATACGGATAACAACATGGCTGTTTGCGCGCGCGAAATTTAAAATTTTATATTAAAAAATAGTGAAAGTTTATATTTTTTGGTATTCTAAGCAAAATAGATTGAATATTATAATAATTAATATTAAATTTGCTTAAGAAAAAAAATTGAATGAATTCTGTGACTAAAAAGTTCTTTTTTGTATTTTATAAAAAGTATTTTGCTAAATTAAATTTATTTACTAATTTAATTTATGTGAATTTATATTTTATTGATGTATTTTCTAATTTTATTTGAAAATTTTATTTAAAATCAATTTAATCGGCAAAAAACGTAAAAAAATTATGTTTGAAGCTGTGCTCGACAAAATGGCCGATACGAATAACTAAATGGCTACTTTCACGCGCGAAAATTCAAAAATTTTTGTTTTTTAATTAAAAAAATGAAAATTTATATTTTCTAATATTTTAAACAAAATAAATATTAATATTTAAATTAATAAAAAAAAAATTTGAATGAACTCCGTGACTGGAAAGTTTTTGTCGTATTATTTAAATCAAAATAAAAGTAAAAAAAAAATAAGTATTGACTTAAATATTACAACAATTGAAATAACTTCATAAATATTAAATTAAAAAAAAAAAAGAAAAGTTTGAATGAATTCCGTGACTAAACAAATTAAATCAAAGAATCACTCTAAAATCCCTAAAATTAAATTTTACGTAACAGCAGCAATTACATCGATTGAATTCTATTTTAAAGCCGGTAATTCGAATCTCGACATGGATATTAGTCTAATAAATAAAATAAAAAAGTCAATATAGATAAAACATTTATTTGATTAAAAGCATTATGTTTATATACAAAAATATTTACAGAAAAACAAAGGCTGTAGTTATCAGTCTAGATGAGAAAATAGTCGGGCCCGACAAAGGATCCGCACTTGGGAAAATCCTGCGGTGGCGGTACCATGTCACCAGGGTCTCCGACTTGGAGAATAACGTCGAGACCGCGAGTCCACTCGAGAGCATTTTCGTCACGCAACATCCAGTAGCCTGCGAATGACAAGGACATGTAATAGATTATACGGATACATATTAGTAGGTGAGTGTGTTAAATTTATGTATGTGTGTATGAAGCCGCCCAGCACCCAGACATTATTAAATAACAGCCAGCCAACAACCGACGGCAATTTACTATCCCGTGAGAGCGGAATATATAATGCTGCTATCATTTTATCGATCACGACCTTGAATAGTAGCGTAATGTATATATTTAAATCTCTATATATATATATATATATATATATATA